TCTGGCCAGTGAAGACGGGGTAGAAGTAGCCAGCGGTGTCATGGTTGACCAGAAGATAATCCTGGAAAAGATTTTTAGGTGCAGCCTGACCAAAGCCTTCCAGAGTGTCCCTCACCAAATAGACTTCAGCCAACCAGAGATGGCCCGGCAGGTGATCAACTCCTGGACATCTGACCACACTGGTGGTAAGTATTTTAAAGTCACTTCTATTTTGATTACATTGCCTGTGATGTTCCTCATTTCTACATCAATTTGAATAAAAATGCCTGCTAAATGATTAAATGTAAACTCACTCACCATACACATTTACAAGACGATTAACTGATTTATTGGTTTCATTTCTTAGGAATGATTACTGACTTCCTCCCCTCTGGGGTGTTGAGTGAACTGACACGCTTGGTCCTGTTGAATGCCCTCCACTTCCATGGGGTCTGGAAGACACCGTTTGACCCTAAACTTACTAGGGAACAGCTATTCCACAGAGTCAACGGCAGTGCTGTATCTGTTCCTATGATGACTATGACTTCAAAATTCAACTGTGGTGAGTGTCAACGATTTGTTTAAAGGAACTGATGAGAAAATTAAGAAATTTGTAATGGTTATTTACAAAATTTTTCTCCATGTAGGTGAGTTTGTGACTGAAGACGGTGTGGACTACGATGTCATTGAGGTGCCTTATGAGGGGGAGTCACTAAGTATGCTTCTGGTGATACCATTTGAGAGGGATGTGCCTCTTTTGGCCTTGAACAAAGAGCTGAGAAGCAGCAGGATTCACCAATGGAGAAAACAGATGAGAAAGATTAACAAACAACTTGCTATTCCAAGGTAGCGCATCTATTTCTGTGAACCTGTGTAGGATTTTTATATTGTGATGAACATATTAAAACACGAAGCCTAATGTATGTGTTATATAACGATGATATCTCAGGTTCTCCATGGATACAGAAATTGATCTGAAGTCCACACTGAGCAAGATGGGTCTTGGAGACATTTTCAGCCAGAGCAAAGCTGATTTCTCTCGCATTACCAGTGAGTATTGGAAATTGTCAGATTTCATTTTTGGCAATGCTGTAGCTGTTGTGTTAAAGAATAAATGTTGATGGATTCTCTTTTTTTGATAAATCTAATAAAGTTGTTTCTCTCTCTTTTTGTACAATTAGCTGAGGAACCTTTATGTGTATCCAAGGTCCTTCAGAGAGTAAAACTTGAGGTGAATGAAGAAGGAACCAAAGGCTCATCTGCCACAGGTACAGACACTGAATTGCAGTACACTACAACAGTTATTTAACTGTCATTATAGTGAAACCAAAATGCATATTTTACTTATTTATTTTTTCTGTGATTCCACAGCGGCTGTCATCTACTCTCGCATGGCTGTTGAGGAGATCAAACTAGATAGACCCTTCTATTTCCTTATTCAGCACAAACCCACTGGTCAGTTGTGCTTTCATTTCGTGTGCTTTCATCTTATTGCATTTAATTTTGCTTGCTTTATCTGGATAGGTGTCAGTGTAGGTTTTTGTTGGTTTGTTTGTCTGTTGGTTGTCTCCCTTAATAGTAATATCCCCGGTTTAAATTCACAGGTGCGTTGTTGTTTAGCGGTCAAGTGAACCAGCCTCAGGAATCCTAACAGACCGAGGTTGTACCTGAAGTAACCATACAAACAGAAGGACCAAAGAAACTGCCAACAAGTCTGCACACAACATACTACTGAAGTCAAGAGATGCTTATAGTTCTGTTTTAAAATGAAAGGGGTGGGGGTGCCGAACTTTAATAAGAAACGTATAAATGTTTATTCAGTATGTGTCCTCTGCTATGGGGGAGGAAAGATCTATACTATAAAAAGAAAGCATTACTGTTTGAAACATATGTCTGAAACAATCAGGGACATTTAATGAACAAATTTACAGCCTCTGCAGACAGGTTCTACATGCACTAATAATTTGAAGAGTGAATTAATTTGTATGCTTGTTTAATATGCTTATCTTTTTTAAAAGTTGTATTTTACAGTATTTATATTAATTTATTGTCGAATGTTATATTTTCTTGAAGACTGTTTATTAAAATTGTTTTCTTTTATAATAAAAGCGCCCATACGCGAACATGAATTAGTTTTACGTTCTTTATTTAATTACTTTGGAGCTGGCGACATCTTGTGTTCACAGTTTGGCAACGACAAAAAGTCAAATATATTGCAACACTTCAGATAAATGGAATGTGTAGATACGCTATTGGAATAATAACCTTTCAGATAATGCACGCGTAGCACTAGCTGGCAGTACAAATAGCATTGTGATTTCATTTGTCATGATTGTCGCAATGAATGACCCAAACTGAGCAGCATGAATCTGGGTAAGATTAAAGTTCTTAAACCCACCCTATCTCCGTTACGATGGAAACCTGAATCAGCCCCGTTTTGTCATGGCAACAACATCTGAACATCGTAACTTACCCTGATGTCAGAGGCAAAGCTGTTAAGTTTTACAAATAGATAAGAAAAACACTTTATCGCTTTCGAAAACGTAAACACATAAAACATAAGTTATTTTTTGTTAGAAGTGGGAATTAATTTCTTGTAAAGGCAGCAAGAGGAATTTCTGCAAGAGATCTTGTGGGGACAGGAATGCGCAGAGCGCATGCGCGCTGGTGATGATGACGCTACCCAACTCCTCTCTAGTGACGAGAAGTCCGGCTTGATTCTGGGAATCGGTTCTTTCAAACTGTTCGTTTAAACGAACCGATTCAATTGTTCCTTCATGCCATGCCATAACTACGTCATGCTCAATCGTGGTCCCTGACGTCTCGACGCAGCATAGACTATGTTGTCTGCACATATTGCTGTGTATTACGAGTTTTCGAATAAGTTTCATTAATACGGATGTTTACTGTAGTGTTCTAATTCTAGTGTTCAATTCGTGAACGAACCGGTTTAACTGATGCATTGAAAAGATCCGACTCAAAAAAGCAATTCGTTAACGAATTGGGTAACGCTACTCCAGGCTGCTTCAATGGGGCTCTGAAACTACGAGCAGTCAATTAGACATGTATTGATAATATCTTGCGGTATTGACCAATAAGCGGTTTGCTGTTCACTGAAAATACCTGACTGCTCTCAATAAGCCGTCAAAATGGTAAGTTATACTCTTATAGAGACATTAAGCTGCACTTTTCAGGCTGAGCTAGCTAGCTAAGGCTAAGTCTGTACAGTCAGCTTCCTGGACACCTCAAACCCTGTTTAAAAATTCACATCTCACCTGTCGGGCCCTAGGTGGTCTGTTCAGTGTGGACGCTTTGTGTGGTTTAACTTACATCTCTCAAATAAATTAATATTTTCACGTTGTCATGTATTGCAAAGCGTTTGTTCACTAGCCGGTCAGTTTGACAGCTGGATTTAATATGTTAAGTTGGCACTTTTAATTAATCACCTAAACGCTGTTCACAGCTTGGCGTTCATACGAAGCATTTTATGAATACTTAAACTTTAAAGCTGTCTTTTGACTCTCGATTCGACCCGGAAACGCTTGTCTAGTTGCTGCTTTGTATTTGAGTGTGAGATTCAGATGAACTTGAGTCAGAAGATTGCCTTTAATCCCACACAGTACATTTCACTGCGGTTTTTAGAGTCATAACAGCGTGTTCTCTCAAAAATATTCCGTTATAGAAGTATTTCACAACATATTTCCTTTGTTTAATCAGTTAAGCATGAAAGGAAGTGCTGCACTGAGAGATAATATCCAACACGCCATACAACAGTGTTTACTAACTGAAGAAAGCACTAATGATCATAGCAGAGGGTAGCGAAATGTAATGTCTGTTCAACATTTCCCTGTTTGCCATGTTCAGTAAACTGGCAGACCAGAACTTGCTTTTGCTTTGATGAGATCTACAAACACATGTAACTAAAGTATCAATCTAAAGAGAGCATTTATTTCTCAAAATAAGACTCTTTTGTTTTTTTCCCCCTCTTTCTATGGTACTAGAAAAACAGCAGAAAACATTCATCGCTGTAAGTAACGATGTGTAGTGTAGCAATAGATGGTGATCTGATTGTTTCTTCTGTAGATTTTCATGTTCTTTATTAACCGTAGAATTTCATGAATGTGTGAATTTAATGTCCAATGTTTGTGTGTTTAAACTACTAACAATTGTTATAAGTCGCACTGATCAAGTAAAAACAGTGCATGGTATTAACAACCTTGTCTGTATGTGTGGATGCTAAATTGTCACTTGATTTGACCGCTAAATATGGACTTGAATCCAGGAACACTTTTTTTTATAGCACTGAAGAAGACAGTCTCTCCTTCCCTTAGGAGGTTACTATTCTCGTCTCTGGCCTCAATTATTTTTTTTCCCACATCTCATCCTTTTCATGTCTTTCTTTTTTTGGATATTAAACATGTACATTGTTCAGCTGAGCCTTTCATTGCCAAGTACAGTGCATCATTTTTAGACTATTTCAAGGGCTGATGTAGGCTGATAAATTCTGACACAAAGTATAAGTCCTTAATTTAGCAAGCTGGTAAGAATGTTCCACAATTAAACTAATGTGTGCTTTAGAGTCGTGTTCCATGTAATAGTCTTATGGTTTTTAGTCATAGTGTGTCAGACTAGTTCTTTGATCAGAAAATGTGATAGTTAGCCTTTCGAGTGGATTGAGCTGAATGCACCGTGTTGGAAATGTGGGCCATGTCTGATGGGAGCAGATGCAGTGCTCTTCAGCTCTCCTCTTAAATATTTAACACATCTGAAATGTATAGGCCAGTTGCAGCTCACTTTCTAATTTTATAATGATGGATGACGCTGAAGTTCTTTTGAGAAAAAAAGAGGTAAACCTTTTTTCCTTCTTTTTTTTTTCAATTTTCCCATTACGCCATCATCCTTTCTGATAAGTCAGATGCTGGTTATAAGCACAGTTCACAACATTTTAATCATCATTTGTACATGGGTAGTTGACAAATAACATGGACATGAACTTTTTTTTTTTTTTTACCAGCATCAAGATTTTAGGTTGTAATTTATTTAAATGTGTAAGGTAAATTGTATATTTTAGGTCAGTTTTTTAAAAGGTTTTTCACTAGTTTTAATCGCTTTTGGCCTTTTGCTGGCCTAGTTCTGTGGAGGTGTGAATTTTAAAACTAGTAGTTTCTAATTTAATATGAGGTCATAAAAACTGCATGTGTAATTATTATCATATAACAGGCTTTTAATGAAGTATAGCATGAGGCACACTGCAGCATGTACTTTTAACAACACAATTTGTACATGGGTAGTTGACAAATAACATGGACATGAACTTTTTTTTAATTTTTACCAGCATCAAGATTTTAGGTTGTAATTTATTTGAATGTGTAAGGTAAATTGTATATTTTAGGTCACAGTTTTTTAAAAGGTTTTTCACTAGTTTTAATCGCTTTTGGCCTTTTGCTGGCCTAGTTCTGTGGAGGTGTGAATTTTAAAACTAGTAGTTTCTAATTTAATGAGGTCATAAAAACTGCATGTGTAATAATTATCATATAACAGGCTTTTAATGAAGTATAGCATGAGGCACACTGCAGCATGTACTTTTAACAACACACATCCAGTTTTTAGTGAAAATTTGTTAGTATATATATATATAATATATATATGTGTTTTATTATTCAATTCAGTGTTATTGTTAACTGCAACTTTTTACCAGTAAAACCATTTTCATTAATCATCAAAAAGAAAATCTAAATATATCTAAATGAAAAACAAACAAAAAAGCTTAAATTATAAATGTCTTGGCAACTGTCTGAAATTAAATAAGCTTAATTTGAAATACTAAAATAAAAAATCAAGCTAATAATAAATATACTTTTTTTTTTTTTAAAGTACTAAAGTACATAAGAGTACTAAAAGTTAAAATAAAATAAAAATTACACAAACAAAAAAGCTAATAAATACTATAATACTACATAAATAATACTAAAATAACACTGCTCCAATTATTTATTTCCAGAGACTGGTTTGTTTATTGATTTATTTAGCTTAAAATTCTCCGCCATATGGAGTATTGTCTGGTTGGAAATAACTTTTTTTTTTTTAAATGCATTCCTCTCCTGTTTCTCTGTAGATGCGCTTTATGCTTCTGTTCAGCCGGCAGGGGAAGCTGCGGCTCCAGAAATGGTACACGGCTACAGCTGAGCGTGACAAGAAAAAGATGGTCCGAGAGCTCATGCAGGTGGTGCTGGCCAGAAAACCTAAAATGTGCAGCTTTCTGGAATGGAGAGATCTAAAGATAGTCTACAAGAGGTAGAAAACCACGAATGCTTTTGATGCCTTTGTGAGACAGAAATGTCGGTTGCAAATATGTCTCTTGTTGTCAGTTTCTTACATACACATAAAAGGTTGTACTAAATAAAACGTAGTCCAGGTACACAGACTATACACCTTTTTTTTCCCCGCTGACCTGTTCTTTTTACTCTAAATGTCTAGTAACGTGTACATCAAACTATTGTGAACGATGACTCATTTATTGCGTTGTTGTTGAGCAGTAGAATTGTTTGAAACATCAAAATACATTTCATATCTAGTCTCCTATGCACATACACTCCAGCTTTGACTAAATTCAATAGGAACCTCTCGTGCCCCTTTGCATTGCGTAATAATAAGCCCTTTTTGTATGCATCTAATACTGTCACTGCACTCAAGATAGACAATAAAAAGAGGTGTAGAGAGGTGGTCATTGTTTTTGGTCACAAGGGGGCACTAAAAGTAAAGCTGCCTTGTTCTTCATTGTGACGCTTGTTTTTGTTTTTCACCTGCACTCCGTCTAATATGCAGTGTTGGGGAAAGTTACTTTTAAAAGTAATGCATTACAGTATTGCGTTACTTTACTAGTTACTTGAAAAAAGTAATCTGATTACGTAACTCGCGTTACTTGTAATGCGTTACCCCCAACACTGCTAATATGTACTTGTTTTGGCAGCTACTTAATGTCATTGAGGTTTGATTTAGAGTTTGATTTAAGCACCGTCACTATAACATTTCTGCAGTCATGCATCCATGTTGGGTAATTTCTTATTGCGTTTTCGTTGGTCACTTCCACACACTAAGAAAGTGTGAAGACTATTTCAGAGGTAGTGAAGCAACACGCATTGATCTAGTCACTTTCATTTCATTGTTGTCAGCAGCACTCACCATGTCTACTCCCCAGGCATCCAACCAGCACCTGCTGTGTGTTATTGCTTTCAGTTATCACTTTTTATACTTCCCTATTTGTACTATTAGTTTTTATTACTATTTTGAATGAGCTTTTATTTTTGTTTTTAATTTTATTCAATTGAATTTTATTTTTAATTTTAGTTTAAGTTTTAGACATTAGTTTTTAGGCATGTGCTTTTTTAGTTTTATTCCTTAGAAATATTTAGGGTTAATTTGTTTTTAATTTCGATTAAGGTTTAGTTTTAATTATTTCTAGGTAGTAATTTTAGTTCTTCTATAATTATAATTATAGAATTAATATAATTTTATTTATTAATTTATTGCATTCACACACACACACACACACACACATACTGTATTTTTGATTAAGAAAAATGCAGCCTTGGTGAGCATGACTTCTCTGTACTGTACTTGAATACTCATTAAATAATATAGGCATATAACTGCTGTCTTATTCATATTTCTTTGAACTGGAATTTTGACTCCGTTGGATTATTTCAACACATTTATGTGACACTCATATATAGAATATTACCAGATTCTTGTGCATGTAAACAAGATTGTGCTCACGTCTCCACTGTTTTGTGTGTGTTGTACCCAATGTAGGTTTGTGAGCTTGACATCATTTTTAACTTTGAGAAAGCTTACTTTATCCTGGACGAGTTTCTTATGGGGGGAGAAATTCAGGACACATCCAAGAAGAGCGTGCTGAAGGCCATCGAGCAAGCCGACCTTCTACAAGAGGTGTGTGTATGCATGTTATTTATGTGTTTTTGAAAGATGTTTGCATGGAAAAGTCCAGATATGTTCCTTGAATTCTTGTCTTGTGGCTCCTTATTCATTTATATCCTCTTAACTCTTCAGAGTATTGCACATTGTAAGCTGCCAAGTTAAGTAATCACTGCATTGTGTAATGTACACTGTGAGGATCCCTCAATGGAAACCCTTGTCTCCTTTTCTCCGGACAGGAGGATGAGTCACCCAGGAGCGTCCTAGAGGAGATGGGGCTGGCCTAGTACTAGTTTCAAATGCAGTCAAGACAGATGGTAAATTTTGGTACTACTGCGACATGTGGGTTTATGTGAAGGGGAGTTTGTGAATGGGTCCAAAGCGTGGGAGGAGAACAGGGGAATAAAAGAGGGTAGGTGGGGTTAATTTTGGTACTACTGAGATCAGCATGTGATTGTATTTCAATTCCGACCTTTTTTTGTCTTTTACATTTTAAAATGGCTGCCTAGCTGGGATCTCATCTTTCTTAAGAGACACTGTAGAAAGAGAGTTGCGGATAGACACTCAAATTTAGCAATCAGAAACATATTTAGAAAAAGGAGTTGAGCCTTGCCATTTTAACAACAGGTCATGCAATCTCAGCTTTTAGTTTTATTTCAAAGAATGATTTATTGTTACATTGATCAAGTGACCTGCTTTGGAAAAACCTCAAATTGAATCCAATGCCATTACTATACATCTACTGTAGCTGCTCAGGAAACAATGACATTGACCATCCAGCCATGTTTATTTGTGTGAGATGCAAATATTTGTACTTGTACCACTTTAAAATGAAGTGCTATTGCAGCATATGGACCATAAGTAAATCTACTAATGTTTTTTTTTTATAATGGATCGATTTTGAAGATATATTCACCAAACAGGAGGAATATTTAATAGACCTTTTTAAATGGCTACAATACTGAATTGACTATATTCAGTATTCATTTCTATTCATTTTGTTTTGTCCTTTGAGCCACAGTAGTAAAACGTCTGAATGTGTATTACTTCGAGAACAGGGCACTGAATCTCAACCACAAAATGGCGTGAAAGCTCTTTCCTGTTTGTCTTGGTCTACATCCTGCTTTTCAAAGACGTGTTTCTGACTGTAAGCGTGGCGTTTGAGTTATAATAAGTAAGGGAGTATTTGTAGCTTGTTTCAGATAACAAAAGAGGGCTTTGCTATTAGGTGTGATGTATTTACATGGCTTTTTAAACGTGGTGTGAAATAAGGGAATATTTTGAGATTAACTGTTTCTTTTTTTTTTTTTTAAAGCAATTGAATAATTCAGCATGAAGACATGTTTTTACCTGTGTAAAATCTGTCAGGTAACCAAAACAGAATTATGTGTGAATGTAATTTTATAAATAATAAAAACACAATTTTAGCCTAAACTTTCAAGTACATTGATATTTCTTCCTCATCTCTTTTCACGTTTTTATTATTTTTCAGTTTATTCAGCCTTTTTTTCTTTTTTAAATATAACCTTATACCTAATGACAGCAGTTTGAGTTTCTAGAGGAAACTTGCAGAGCATTTCGTCCAACCTGTTTTCACATTTGCTTGCTTTTTTTTTTTTTTGTACATCCATCATGCCATGACCTCTGTTGGTATAATGTTTGCAACGTCAAAAAAAAAAAAGAATGCTTTGTCAGGAATTTATTATTATTTGTGTGTGTGTGTGGAGCAAAGATAAAGAGTGCTGAAGAGAGAAAATGAGAGAGAGAGTGAGATTGAGTATGTAAGTGGATGAGTCACCAGTCGCTCGTTTGTGACAGTGGTGCAGTGAAGCTGACTGCACCACCATTGTGGCAAGAAAAAGACAATGAAAGAGCAATGGGAAATTAGAAAAAGAGATTACAGCCGGGTGAAGACACATGTGCATATAGTGACAAAAGAAAAAAAATTATGTTGATAGAGTCAGTGACAATTTAACAGATGTAAGTCACCACACCACAGATGTTCAAGACAAAAATAAAAAAAATGTTTTCAGTTTTGTGTGAACTAATAATTTGCATTGGTAATATAAAAGGTGCTTCTTTTTCGACTGCACTTTTCTCAAAGTGTCTTGTTATTGTCTGTTTGTGTTTCCTTCCCTTGTTTGGGGATTTATGAAAACAGAAATCTGTTGTGATTTTCACCACAAACGATTTAACCCTCAGCGTGATTGCAGCCCTCCTTCCTTTTGTCTAAATATAAGCTCAGCTGTTGATCAGAGTGTCTTCCTTTATCTCTCCTCTCAGTAGAGATGGACAGCAGACCGTTTCTAGAGACACTGTCATGTGCCTTTCAGCTTTTCACCCTTCTGTCAAATTGCATTTCTGCGGCACTTAGTGACTAATTGTGTATCCTGTGGTTTTTCATGCAAATGCAATGTGTCTTGGTCTTTTTAATGGATTTAGGATTATAATGCTTGTTTACAAGTCCACTAATGGGTTTTTCCCCTAATATTCATGTAGTGCATGAAATTCTGCATAAAATCCTTTATTTTATTTTCCTGTATATTTGCAGTTTTAAAGGATTATTGGTTGATTGATAATTGATTTTAGGTAAAGCACTTGTCTTTTTTCCCCCTGTAAAAATATAAACATACAGCTAAAAACATACAGCTAATTAAAAGTGGGCCTAAAACAATGTATATTCAGTGTATGGCTATGCATATTTTTTTCCCCTTTACTACACTATATAAATGTGCAAACATTGTACCTTTAAGGGTACTGCTTATAATAGCTTGTTGTCCTTAAGAGAATAGTACGCACAAAAATTTAAATTTGCTGAACATTTACTCACCCTCAGGTCATCCAAGATTTAGAAGAGTTTGTTTCTTCATCGGAATATTTAGAGAAATTTAGCGTTACATTACTTGCTCACCAATGGATCCTCTGCAGTGAATGGTTGCCGTCAGAATAAGAGTCCAAAAAGCTTATAAAAACATTGTGATAATCCACAAGTAATCCACATGACTCCATCAATTAACTGTGTTTTTGATAAACAAATTAATCATTAAGATGTTTTTAACTTCTTCCGGCTAAAATATGAGTCCTTTATCTATAATATCGCTTTTCCCAGTGAAAAAGTCGTGTTGTTTGAATCAGGAGAGAAATATGCACAGACCAAGCACCGTTTACAAGCGAAAATAGTCCAAAACGAATATGTCAGTGGATGTGAGAGGACAGAAAAAGATGGAGAAGGTGTTATTATGGATTCTTTTGTCCAGAAGTGACATTTTTAAAGTTAAAACATCTTGATGATGAATTTGTTCTATCGATTGAGCGTAACCCTGTATATTCCTTTAAATGTACATTTTTATACCTTATCTACCCCTAAAGCATACCCTAGGTACTAATATGCACCTTTTAGTGATAGATAAGATGGTCCTGCCCCGGTGACAGTTCATGCTCATTTTTTGATCATGTGTTTACAATTGTCCACAATCTGTTGGCCTTCGTTGCATCCATGCCATATTATTTACCTGTAGAAATTCACAAGATAATGGAAATTCTGGAAACTCCGAGCCAACAAAACATACAGCCTCATCCTCAAAGTGGCCTTTGCAGCAGATGCATTTCTGCAGTGTGTAATTTGATGAGTAAGTCATTATAATTGCAAAGTTAATCAAACTTGTCTTTGAGATTACCTGAAGCAGTGTTTAGCTTCTGTGGAGCACATTTTATGACAGTAAGTATAATATGCTGGTCTCGCACTGATGGTTTGATGGATGACTGCCCTTATTTCTCCCCTGGATGAGTCTTTTTTTTTTTTTTTTTTTTTTTCATTGATCTGGCACCAGCGCATCTCCAGTGGAAAGTTTCTGCCAAGTGCCTCTGTATGTTCTTTCTCTCTCTCACTTTCTCCCCCACCTCCTTCCTCCCATCATAATTGCCTGGCTTCTCTGCCTACCTCATGATGAATTTTTAATGCCATGTTGTTACTTCTTTCCCATTATCCTTATGGACAGTAACTCTTCATCCACTATAAAGAGTGAGTCTCACCCTCTCTTTACCTTTCTAAAGGTGACTCCTATGAGGTTTAGGCTAACCTGTGAGACCTTTCTGGAAATGGTGCCCTATAGAATCTATCTCTGTCCCTATGAGCAGTCCATTCAGTAATACACTGTATTGTAATTTGGCCTTATTGTTTTGGACTTGCCCTTTAAATCATGTAAGGTTATGACATTTTCTTCCATCCATTTTTCGTTTGGATGACTGCCAGTGTAAGCTGATCTTGGGACAACGTTTACAGGCAAACCCACCCTAGAGCTTCCCACCTCCTTAATGAAATGTGAAGAACGCTCCAGGCCAACACACTGATGGACTTGGCAGAGATTGTTTTTAGCGGAGGCGGGACATATGGGCTTTCCGTGGGTTTTCCCATTATGCTGATCTTTTTTTTTTTCTTGCATTGGGGGTGTTGGGTTTTGAGTAATAGAGAATGTTGGACCGATTCGATATTTGATCAAGAGAACAAAGTGCATTTTCATTCCTCTGTTTTCTGGGCAAGCCTTCAGGGCAAAGAAATCATGTTTGTCATTTTGCTTGTGTGCTGGTGCGCAGGTGTCACAGGAAAGGAGTGTTTTTCTCTTTGATCAGTGCACATGCTTTTTTTTCTGGCATGTCATTGTACAGAATTGTGTACAATGTGCACGATTGTATTTAACACACATTGTTAGATGTTTCTCTTTTTATTTAATTGAATCGGGTTGTATTATAGAGTCTATTAGACTGAATTTGACAATTGCTCTTCCCAGTAGCTGTGCTTGAATAAGTGAATATGACAAAGGATTGTCAGTGTGTGTTGGAGGCTGAGGGTTCTGCAGTAGAGCGAGTATGACTCACCTCTCAACCATGTGACTCATGAATCATTGCTTCTCTGTGGGCTGCGCTCTTCTTATCAACCTCTCCGTCGCCCCATTCTCTCTATTTCTCTTTCTCTCTGCCACCCCCTCACTTTCTTCATTAACATTATTATTGACTACCTCTCGCCACTTCTTTGGTAACTCTTTATTCCAAGCCTTTCTGTTGTTGATTACAATTTCATTAGTAATTTTAATAGTCTGTCATTTTCTTTGTCTTTGTCTAATTTTGTTTCCCTAATTTTCTGTCCATTTTCCGAAAATCTTCATCATTTTCTCTTTTTATCGATCTGTTCATGGGAAACTGTAGCTGTCGCTACTTGTTTGTTTCCAGCATTGTCTTGAATAGTTGTTGATAACATTGTGAATTGAAAGTTCCTGGTGTCAAGTGATTAAGTGCTAAGGGCTTTGCATATGAAGTTACCTGTTCACAAAACCATGTTTGACTGCTGTCGTTGTACCCTTGAGGTTGTCATGTAATCACTTTTGCAGAACAGTCTAGTAAAGAGATGGAATTATATTAATTATGGGATTAAAATAATTATAATAGGAATAAAATGTATGTTAATATGAGTAGTGGTAGCCTAATGGTTAAGTGTACAAGGTTAAGTTGGAGCCAAAAAAGACAGGTCACAGTTCTGCTCTGCCATGTTGTTGTTTTAAATAAAGCGCTTAAATTCAGTTTGTTCTGGGGAGATTGTCCCACAATCACGTTGAATTAAAAAAAACATCTAAATGCACTACAAAAATCATATTCTTCATCTGTATTTTTGTGTAATTTACCAGTCAAAATATCTATAGATGTATGACTTACTGTCAGAGAATGACTGTATATATATATATATATATATATATTAAGGCTAATTAAGAACTATTTCAAGTCATTTATTATAGTGTGGTAACGAATTAAACAGGAGTAAGGACAAAAGTAATTAGTTTGGGCTTCATGTACTGTGTATGGGCTTTTTAGTTATATTCTTTCAAAATAGTTGACCCAAAAATGTAAGTTCTGTCATCATTTAATCACCCTCATGTTGTTCCAAACCTGTATGATTTTCCTTCTTCCGTGGAACATAAAAGAAGATATTTTGAAAAATATAAAAATAAACAGAGAAATAAAAATGTCTCAGTTTTTTATTCATACAATGAAAATCTATATTGTTTGGGAACCATTTGACTTTCATTGTTTCAAAACATGAGTGCGAGTAAATGATGACAGATTTTTTTTTTCTTCGGTGAACCGTCCCTTTAAATTTATTTACATGAATACAAAGCAAACCTCACTCCAGGGTTTCCGCGGGGTCTTAAAAAGTCTTACATTTAAGTTGTATCAAATTTAAGGCCATAAAAAGTCTTAAATTGTACAAGAAAGTCTTAATTATGATTTCAGTCGGTCTTAAATTTGGGGACGGAAAGACCAGAATTGCGATATGGCTTTATGTGACGGTTAAACTTCAAAAGGCTATGATTTCATTAAATAAACATGTGTGCTGAGCCTTTCAGAGTCGGTGCTGTGCTGCTTTGTGTTCTGCTGTTACCGGG